CATTGTATTATTTTATAAATAATTATATATTATATTATATTAATATATATTATAATAATTATTATATATTATATTATATTAATATATATTATATATTATAGATACTTGACCTTGAATGACCTTCATAATAGTTCATTATATTCGCCTCCAAACACTCTATCAGAATGTAAGTAAAAAAACTTACTGTTCTATTTAAAAAAAACAGAATTGATCTTCATATCTCCTTGACGTCTCCACCTACAGAAAAATTGGTAATACCAGGTTACGAGTCCCCCGATACCAAGTAAGTTTGGTCTAATGCATTTTCTCCTATCTTCAAAAACAAGCGAGTTATTCAGGTGACCTGTTTAAAATGCCCCACCCTCTATATTGTATAATAATATATAATAACATAATATTAATTATATATTATATATTATACAATATATATTGTATAATAGTGTATAGTAATATAATATTAATTATAGATTATATGTTATAAAATATATAATGTATAATAATATATAATAATATAATATTAATTATATATTATATATTATACAATATACATTGTATAATAAATACAATAATGTATTTTAGGACAATGTCTAAACGTCCGGTCATTTTGAGGACCACCAACAATTTCGCATTTAGTTATTTTTATTATCTATTATTATAGTATGATTGCTTCCGAGAGTGCTTTCTAATCTGACGATTAGAAAGCCCTCCACGCGGGCTCGTCGGAACGAAGCGAAAAAATATTCGTGAACATTCGCGAAACGAACTCGTCCAACAACGATTCCGTTACGATCGACGGGGTCTCGTTCGTTTACGCGACATATCGGCCCTAGTTTCGCAATTTGCACACGCTTATTCGGACTCGGGACGCGGACCGGCCGCGTTTATCGAGGGATAAGTTTGAACGGTGAATGGCTGTCTCTTTTACCGAGACGACAAAGTCCCCGGAGTTATTTTCCTGACAGAGATTTCCATAACTCGCAGCTGCGAAAGAATCGGGAGGGAAGCCGGGGCCAGAGAAAATACGACAAATACGTCGGAGAGCTTCGGGCTATAAGGAAATATGGTGAAAGGAACGGGGAGCTGTTTTTGAAAGGCGACCGAGTCGATCTATAATTTTCGAGGCAAGAATAACAACTTATAAAATAACTGCGAGCATTGTTGTCTCGACAAACAGCAACCGTAACAAATAACAATATATATTCGTTATGGTTTTCCTTGGAGGCGTTAGTAATGTCTCTCTAATTGACGCCCAGATTGTCCACAAAACTGGACAATTTTATAGTTACTTACTTTATTTTTATAGTTACGAATTGTCAGCGACTATAAAAACGAGCTGCGAGGCTCGACTGTACAGTAATGTCTCCGTAATTGACGCTCGGATTGTCTCCCTAACTGACGCCCAGATTGTCCACAAAAAACTGGACAATTTTATAGTTACTTATTTCATTTTTATAGTTACGAATTGTCAACAATTATAAAAACGAGCTGCGAGTCTCGACTATACAGTAATGTCTTCGTAACTGACGCTCGGATTGTCTCCCTAATTGACGCACGGATTGTCCACAAAACTGAACAATTTAGGAAGAGGAGATACGATTATTCGAGACTTCTGGCACGTTTTTACAGTTATAAATTGTCAACAATTATAAAAACGAGCCGCAAGGCTCGGATAATCGTATCTCCTCTTCCCAAATTGTCCTTTTTTTATGGACAATCTGAGCGTCAGTAAAGGAGACATTACTGTAATTCGCGGAATTCGGTGGCCGGTTCCGTTTAATTTAATTCGATTATTAATTTATTAATTTAATTCGAGCCGCAGAGTTCTGTCACTGGCAGGAATTACGATCGGCTTTCCCGCCAGATTCGAACGTGTCGCCAGGAATATAAGTCACGTGGATGAACAGCCCTGGCAAAGACCGACTAAGGCCCGTGCCGGGGATCTCGTTATCCTCCAGTGAGTCTGGCACGCGCGTCGCTGTAATCTCGCAAGCTCCTTTGCAATTTAAAGTGGCCGTCACGTTCCACGCTCACGCGCGACTCCTTCTGAAGAGGGGGAGCGACTCCTTTTTTATCACCGTCCGGTTAAAGTGTAACAAATATCGCCCGGTTCACAATCACGATCGGGGACCGGTTCTCAAAATCGTAATAATTAAATACTATATATAATAATAACTATATACAATATATAATATATATATATATATAATAATACTATATATATATATAATAATAAATAATCGTTTTCATTTGAATTGTTGCACGATGACGGCGAAAGTTCGTTAATTTAATCATCTGACT